TCTTTGTCTAGATCTAATTTAGATATACTAGAAGCATGTATTTTGAGAGTATAGGTCAGTGAATTTGGCAAGTGTGTATATCCTTGAACGTGTTACCATTGCCCTAGAGTGTTCTCTACTGCCTCTATGCAGTCGCTTCTTTCCCATATCTTGTTACAAGCTACTATGAATTTGAAATTGGATTCGGTTTTTGCCTGTTCTAGAACTTTATACTTTATACCTTCTTTTGCATCTGGATTCTTATGCTTACATTGTTTTACCACTGAACTACTCCAACTCTTTAAAAAAATTATTATTATTTATTTGAGACTGGGTCTTGCTAAGTTCCTGAGTTTCTTGTTAAATTGTCCAGGCTGGACTGGAATTTGTGATTCCATTTTCTCAGCCTCCCAGTCACTAGGATTTTAGGCATCTACTACTATCCCTGGTTTATCATCATCTTCTCCTCCTCCTCCTCCTCCTCCTCCTCCTCCTCCTCCTCCTCCTCTTCCTCCTCCTCCTCATTATTATTATTATTATTATTATTTTGCTACTGTGAATTAAACCCGGGGCACTCTACCACTGAGCTACATCCCCAGCCCTTTTTTTTTTTTTTTTTAAATTTTAGATAAGTAGAAGAAGGTAGAAGGTCCAGAGGTGCTGAAGAGCATGCTGTCCTTTGACTTTGAGCTCTCCAATTGCTGAGGCTGGCCTTGAACTTGTGATCCTCCTGCCTTGGCTTTCTGAGTTGCTGGGTTTATAAACATGCACCCCCATGCCTTGCTTATCATGTAGTTTTGAGATTCTTTTTGATTCTTCTTTTTTTATTGCTGACTAGCCCCCAGTTTTAAAATAATAGTTCTTTTTAACTGTGATGTACAAATATAAAAGCCGAAGACTCTGGATAATTTGTAATAAAAGTTACTGTGGCTTATGTTTGCACCCGTGTTACCTCAGTTTAGGGAATAATTTTGGTGATGTTTATTTTCTGCACATTCTGATGCCTATGTTGCCTTCTGCCCACCTGTCCTGAAAAGTTCTGCCTTTCACTTTTCCTTCCAGGTAGTGTGAAGAAGTAAAAAGTGAGTGAATGACATTGTATATATGCTAGTGTGAAATGCCATAATGGTGTTTTCCCAATCATACAAGAGTTTGCCAAATTTTACTGATAGTTTGTTAATTTATCATGAGCCTATTTGAGTGTTGTATGACATAAAATTTATCAGGAGCCTAGTTGAGTGTTGTATGACATAAAATTTATTTTTTACTACTTCCATGGTGACCATTACACAGAAGAAAAAGCTGAGACTAAGAGAACCAAGGATATGAGTAGAATATCAGAAGTCCATTTGTGAAAAGATTTTAACTAAGTTAAAAAGAGTTTAATATCTGAAGTTCTTAATCCAGCAACCAATAACTTCAAGAAGAGTCAGAAATGGCCTTGAGATAGATATTTAAAAGTGAAAACCAGAAATGGTGATAGATGCCAGGATTCCCCTACTTTATCCTACCACATTCCAAGTTCCAGTGCTTCAGAGGCACTGACTAGTCACTCTTCCAATCCACAGGCCCCACAGGTCTTTCTGTTTTTATTAGTTTGCTCACATTATTTTTTCTTGCGTTTTCTCTTTGGGATCTTCTATGTTGACTTTTAGCTATGGAGGATGAGCACTTAGTCCTTCCTCCTTTCCCCAGCTTATTACATCTTCCACCTTCATTCTCTCTAAATATAGAAGTTGTATCTTGGTTTTGGTTAAATTATCAGTGCTTGCCTTGTTAGAACTACATAAATATTTACTTTCAAGTTGCACACAATAATTACATTTTCTCTTGTGCAGTTTTGTTGCTGTTTTTGTTTTCTCTGGAATTAGCGAATGGATACTCCTGTTGCCTGAGTTCTATAATAGTTTTACCCTTTCCCGGATCCCATGTTTCTTCTCTTCTGTTTGTCTGGTGTATTGGGAGAGCACATTGTTTAGAAGTGTGCTGGGGCCTGGTACATGTAATATTCACTTTTCGAGAGCTTGCATGTCTGAAAATGTGTTTATTCTTTCCTCATGTTGGATTGATTGTTTTTCTGGGAAAGAATCCTCTCTCAGAATTTTGAAGGTATAATGTTCCTTTGTATTATAGCTTTTAGTCTTGCAGTTGAGAACAGTCTGATGTCATTCTGATTTTCACACCTTTGTATAGGTCCTGCTTTCCCCTTTTCCTTTTGAAAGCTTTTAGATTGTTTCTTTATCCCTGGTGTTCTTAGACTTCAGGATGATGTGTCCTGGGTGCGGTCTTTTCTCACTCCATTCCCCTGAGCACTTGATGTGCGTTTTCAGTTTGAGAACTCGTGTTTTTTGTTCTGGGAAAATTTTTAGTGAAATTTTATTAGCCTTTTCTCTACTATTCTCATTTTCCTCTTCCTGGAACTCCTGGACTTTTAGGCCAATCTCCTCATTTTCTTTTATCTCTTACCTATTGTTTGTGTATGTTTATATATGTTTCTGTTTGGAGAGTTCTTCAAGAATGTCTTCCATCCTTTCTATTAAATTTAAAAATTTCTGTAATTAAATTTCTAAGAGTTGTTTTTAATTTTCTGAAAATTTTTGTAGCACCTGTCTTGTTTTGCTGTTTTATGTAATAATGTCTCTTATTTTTCCTCAGGCTGTTAATTATAGCTTTTTTTTTTTTTATTCTATTTTATTCTATTTCCTGTATAGTTTCTGTTTCCCCACTCCTTCCAGTACTTTTTTCTTTTTGCTTGTTTAGATGCTTGTCTGTCCATTCTACATGCTTTCCTTGAATGGTGACCTTAAACTAACCATTTGTCTGCAAGAGGGAGGGAGCTGGTTAGAAGCACAGAACATATTCTGGGGTTTGTGCTCCATAATTGGGCAGGTACTTGGTGGTTTCTTCAGTGAAACCTTAGTTGTCACTATTAGACAGGACTTTTTACTTGGACTGGGACACTTTCCTGGGAAAATCATAAATTTCCTGTGTTGGGGTTGAAAGTTGAGCTGCTCCTGTTAATTAGAGCCAGATCCCTGAAGAAGGTAGAGGGTCCAGAGGTGTTGAGGAGCATGCTGTCCAAAAGGCTCTCTGTCCAGCATCTCATGCCTTCCCTTCAGCCTGGTTCAAATCCTTTCTAATTCAGTCTCTCCAGAATGGCCAGTGTGAGGGAAAGGAATTACCTGTCTGGATAGCTTGATGGGAGTTTGGCCCTCTAAGTACTCCTATAGAAAGTTGTAACGCTGAACTTCTGCCTTCTGAATACCTGGTGCCTTTTTTCATTGGTACAAACTCTCAGTCCAGGCTGAGGTGTTCAGATTTCTCTGGTTTGCTAATTCAGTTGCCCACACCATCCATCTTCTAGAATTCTGTTGCTATCTCTTATTTGAGGTTATTTCCTCTCTTCTCTTTTCTTGATGTTCTTTGCTTAAGAAAGAATTTCTTTGCCTTTACTTTGGTGAGATTGCAGGAAGGAATAAAGATAAATGGGAGCCATTTCTGTAAGATTTTTCAAGGGGTTGGTCTGTAACCCCTCCCCCCCCATGCCTACCATTCTACCAAGCCTATCTTGGGACATCACAAAGTTTTCTTACTCAAGAAATCTTTGTTTTTAAACATGGGAGAGTATCATATAAATATGATTTAGGTGTTATCCTGGGGTTACAGAAATGGATTAGGATCTTCCTCAAGAAACATTTTAATCTTAGCATTCTATCTTCATATTTTCTGTGCTTATTAGAAAAATGTGGAAATTTAGTTTGTAACCACAGAATTAGAGGGTCAGTGAGTATGCACATGCACACACACCAAATATTGCAGAAGAGGAATACAGATTTTTTAGTTGTCAAAAACATGGCAGATATTCCAGGGTAATGAAAATGTCTCATCTTGATGAAGGTTTGGTTATATAACCTTATGCATTTGCCTAAACTCATCTCATGGTACACTTGAGATGCAGTCAGGCATAAAAATTTTAGCTCAAACAAACCAGAGACAAAACTATAAATACATACTGAATTTTAATTTAAATAAAATATATGAGGATTGTTAAAAGTATATGAAAGCAGTTTTGTGAATGGTCAAAGGTCATGATTAAAATTTTTTTTTCCATGTTGTAAGAAATCAGGGCACAAAATAAAGACTTACTCTTCATCACTACCCTAGGTACATGTATGACTGCACATATGGTGTGATACTACATTGTGTACAACCAGGGAAATATAAAGTTGTGCTGCAGTTGTGCACAATGAATCAAAATGCATTCAGCTGTCATATGTGCCTAATTGAAATAAATAAATCAATTAAAAAACCCTTACTCTTACCATGTGTATTGTGAGTCTCCCCCTCATTCCACTCCTTGCCCTTTAATTTTGTTGTGTTGTGCCTATGCTAGTCAGGACACTGGACAGACCTTCAGAATGCTGGAGATTGTCTTATTTAATATCTGATTTTCAGAATATAAAGGCAAAAAATCCTTGGTATGTTCTTTAATTTTAAGATTATATCTGGATATGCTTACTCTTTTTTAGAAGTGGGTTATTTTTATTGTAGGCAATTGAGAAGAGTGCTCAGCTCCTTACTTGTAAATTTGCCTAACGTTGTAGAGTTAGAAGTGGACCAAGTGACCTATCAGCTGAATCAGACATCTTCAAGGAGGATTGGAGAAGGAATAATGGCTTTGGACTTACATTGACTATTCCCTTTTTATATATATTAACATTTATGTGGTGCTTTATATTTTCAGAGTGCTTTATATTTGTAGTAATTATTTCTAGATTCATTCAAAGGTATGTTAGGAGTAGTTTTCTCATTTCATGGTAGAGAAAATACAGGCACAAAGAGGTAGAGATGCACCCAAGTAAGTCAGTGTCAAAACCAGGATTGGAATTTTCTAAGCAGACCAACCAAGGGAAATAAGTGGGAGTGGGAATTAGAAACTGTTTTGCATAGTGGAACCACTGAGGAATGCTAACTAGATTATGGGTTTAGACTGGCTCAAGACTGAATCTGTTTTATTGTAGGTAAAAGAGAATCTTCTTTCGTGCAAGATGTTACTGCACTGCAAACGAGATGAACTTCGGAAACTGTGGATTGAAGGAATTGAACACAAGCATGTCCTGAACCTGCTAGATGAAATCGAGAACATCAAGCAAGTACCTCAAAAGCTGGAACAGTGCATGGCCAGCAAGCACTATCTCAGTGCCACTGACATGCTGGTAAGAGAACAGCCTGTTTTGAGGGTCATTTCTGCTAAGATAAATTATCTTAAAAGTACTCTTTTTTTGTTTCCTGTGAATCCTGTAATGCATGCAGCACATTACAAAGTGCCTTCTTAGGATTCACTAGCCTTCACATGTGAAGCCTGGCTGGTTCTTTTCCTAATTTCAGTGTTTGAAATGGTAGATGATTGTTATTTATGTATTTTCTACCTTTGGAACAATAGCCAGAAATATAATGGAAAGAAACCAGAATTTAAATCATGTTGGAATGGTAATGAGAGGTGTTCTTTTTGCTTTAGAGGAAGATAATGAATCTCATTTTAAGGAATAAAATCTGTATGACATAGAACTTACAAAGATTTATAAACCTGGTTCTCCACAAAGTCTTTAAGGAATTTTTACATTAGGGCTTTTTTTTTAAAATTTTCAATTGATAAGAAAGAAAATAATTTTTTTGAGATGATTCCTAGAAGTTACCTTGTTAAACAGAAGCCCTTTACAACTTAGCTTTTAGCCTGTATCATAGTCCATTAAGTTCTGCTATTTTTTTTGGTGGGTGGTACTAGGGATTGAACTCAGGAGCACTCGACTACTGAGCCATATCCCCAGCCCTATTTTGCATTTTTTTTTTTAACGGACAGGGTCTCACTGAGTTACTTAATGCCTTGCTTTTGCTGAGGCTGGCTTTGAACTCGAGATCCTCCTGCTTCAGGCTCTGGAGCCTCTGGGATTATAGGCATGCACCACTGCGCCCGGCTAAGTTTTGCTGTTTTTTGACTGTATGAAAGTTCTGAGGAGATTGTGGTTGTTGGTGAGTGTCAAGCAGATGAATGAAAAATAGAAATGCAGATTTTGCTCCCAAGTAATCTAACTTTTCCAGGGCCTGTGGCTCTTACAGAGGGCTGCTCTATCTTCTGCCCATTCTACGTGTAAACACCCACTTTTACTGCTCAAAGTTGGCTGAGGACTACATAAGTTCTCAGCAGCAGATTGACTGCATTTACTTTTTTTTTTTTTTTCCCTCAAGAAGTGAGACCCTTTTTCTTTGTTTTATCAGATTACTTTCACTGTTACACTGGAAAACAAATCCCTAAAGGAAATTGGTGGGAATTTGAAGGCAATGTTCTAAGTGGTTCCAACTAATTTAGACTCCCAAGAAGGGTTTTGCTAAAAGTGTTTCATAAGTTTTTAAGGTAATGTCATAACCAAAGTTTGAGAAGTGCTATCATATATTAAAACCTGGTTCTGAATGGACTGCCTGGTCAATTTCCACAGGGGAAGAAGGTTAATAGTGGTTTGCTCTGGGGAGTGGCAAGAGAATTGGTTGTTTCCAGCATCTTATTTAAAGTGACATCTTAATAATGACTCTAGGTTGTCTGACAGAAAAAAATTACTTTTCAGCTTTAGTGTTGGTTAATGCATAGTTGTGTTAAATTATTAAGAAACAGCAATTGCAATAGATAAATTCATACATATTTGCGAAGCATATATGCATCTATTTGCATCATGATTATTTGGGAGTAGGCCTGCATTTATGTAAGTGCCATGTATTGAAATAGTTGCTTGACTATATTTCTGGGTTATGTTCATTTAGGATTTCAGATTTTTGTTTTTTGGTCTTATTACTCAAGGGCTAATTTATTTACTTAAAGGCTAATGAATTATGGATATACCCCCCTCCTCCTTTTTTGACATATTTTTCTTCAGGACTTCATTATATAACTTCATTAAATTATTGGTCATAAGTTAGAAATTCAATGCTAGCTAGCTGTGTTAGTTAGCTTTACAATTATTGTTTGAAATAGCTGAGGTAAATTAGCTCATAAGAATATAAAGGCTCATTTTGACTCACAGTTTGCGAAGTTTCAGTCCTTGGTGATTTGGTCCCATTGCCTTTGCCTGTGGAGAGGCAGTATATAATTAATTGCAGGAATAGGTGACAGAGGAAGCTGTCACCTCATGGCAGCTGGGAAGCAAAGGAAGAGGAAGGGGTTGGGTTCCCAGTATCCCCTACAGGGTCATACCCCTGATGCCCTAACTTCTTTCTACTAGATCCCATCTCCTAAAGGTTCCACCATCTCCCTGTAGGGTTACAGACTGGGGACCAACCCTTCAACACATGGCCTTTGGAGAACATGAAGATCCAAACTAGCACTAACATAAGTACAAAGAACTGCTTGGCTTATGTAACCAATCTGCTAAAAACATATACATGAAATGTCACTGTATGTTCTCTCTGCATTGTTTTCTTGTTCTACTGTAGGCTGATCTCTTCCACATGTATGAAAGGGCGTGGGTGTGCAGGGAGAAATGATATAGGCTGTAGTCCACATTTTTTCAGCTTTTCATAAGAAAATAACCTTTTGTTCCTGATTGAAAAACATGGGATCATATTGCAAAGATTGCTTTGCAGAAGAAAATAATATCTTTTCATAGTTAAATAATCGAGACTTAGGTTGAGCCAGTTTGGGTACCATGGTCATCGGGTTTAACCAAAATCATGTGGTTAGGGTGGTGGGAATTGGGGTGGCAAGGAACCATAGTTGCCTTCACAACAGTTTGAGTGCATATGGTATGTTTCCCAGAAGTTTTGTTCCTTTTTCTTCCTATTTATAGTTGTTTATATATTATGGATACTAATCCTTTGTCAGCAGGTGGATTATAAATATCTTCTTCCAGTTGGTGATTCATCTTTTTACTTTGTTTGTGGTGTCTTTTGTTAGAAAATTAAACAAATTTTAATGCCATGAAGTTTCTCAATCTTGTTCATTTATATTAGGTGCTTTTGTTTTAAGAATGTTTTTAATCCCAATGTCTCAAAGATAAACTCTTATGTTCTCTTTTTTTAAAAATCTTTTTTAAATTTATTCTTTTTAGTTCGTGTGTTCTCTTCTTTAATCTTTCCAAAGACCATTTTCTATATGGTATGATCTGTGGATCTAATTTTATTTTTCTTCTGGATAGCCAATAGGCGCAGACTCTTTATTGAATCATGTTTGTACTGATTTATAATGCTCTTTGTCACATGCCAAATTTTCACATATGCTTAGATGTGATTCCAGGTTCTTTATTTTATTCAATTTGGTCTCATACCTCCACCAAACCACACTGATTTAATTATGTAACTTTATAATACATCCTGACAGGAAGTGAAGACATTCACTTTCTGTATGTGCTGTTCTTTACCTTTTACTCTTCCATAGCAATTTCATTGCCCACTTGTTGAATTCCACAGAAAGTGTAATAGAATTTTCATTAAAATTAAGAGAATCTCTATGTTAGCAATATTGAGGCTTCTTGTCCGTTAATTGGATGTGCCTCATTTATTATAGACTTTGTTTAATATCCTTTAATAGTGCTTAGTTATGTCTTTAGAAATATTGTGTGTATTTTGATGGATTTAATCTGGGTATCATATTTTTTGAGGCTTTTAAAAAACAATAGTTCTTTATTAATAATAGTTTCTAGTTATTCATTGCTGGTATATAAGGATCGGATAGATGTTTCTTTTTTAATTGACCATGTTTTTTTTCCTGACATGATTCACAATTCTGTCTCCCTGGAAAATGGTGACATATTCTCTAAGATTTTATCGACTCTCTGAAAGCCTCAAACACTTAGGTGCTTTTTTTTTTTTTAATGTTTCCTTAACCATTGTGTTATTCATTATAATATAATTGATTTTGTTTGTGTGGTAGGTCATTGAAGGTAGGGCTGGTTCTTATCTATTGTTGTCTTCCCTGTGCCTAGCATAGTGCAGTCCATGTGGTCAGAGTTCACAAATTGTTAGCCAAAATGACTAACTATGTGAAAACCTTTAATACTAGTGGAGCGAAAGGTGTTTCTGTTCTAGGAGCTCTGGTATGCTTTTTCTTCTCTGGTTAGTGGGTTTTTTCTTTCTTTTTTAAAAATAAACATCTTGTTTCTGACCATTCTTCTTAGTAATATTTAAATGAATAACAACAATTATAACATCTTATATATATTTAGCTAATATGTATGTTATAATTTGTTAATTCATTTAATGCTCTCCATAACCTTATAAGAAATAAGGCTCTAATATTATTGCCATTTTTCAGATGTGATATTTGTTTGCATGATCTGAGGGGTTGGCATGTTCCAAATAAGCAATTGTTTGAATATCCCAATCACAAAGATTTCATGGAGGTAGGATTTAAAGTGTGCCTAAAAGTTTGGAAGTATTCTTCAATGTAGTCTTTTATATATAAGAGTGAAGAATAAGGTTAATAATGCTCTTTCACTGGACTTCATATAAAAAAAAGATCACATTTTCTTTGCCCATGGTTATGTGCCATCCTAAGTAAAATCTATTTAAAGAATCTCAAGGGTCCAAATGGAAATCTTTGCTAAAAGACCTTGGTGGAAAGTAATGACAAAACAATCTAGTCTTTTTAAACCCCCTAATTTCCTTGGATTTGTTTGTCTGAGATTTTGCATTTTCATTTTAGGCAGGTGCAGATGCAGATATGTAGTAATTTGATCCATACTCAGTATGGGTTAATATTCTAGAGTAAATAAATCAGTGGTGACCCCTGGCTCTTGCCATCTCCTGCTGTTCTTGTTTCACCGTCAGACTGGCCTGGTAGCTATAGGCTTGGCTTCTAGGTGGGTATTTATTTCTTCTTTTGATATGATAACCCAAGTATTGCATAAAATAATTAAATTGTCATGACAGGGAATGTCTGCAAATAGGTCTGGCCTTTTGTTTCCTTCTTCAAGGTAAACAGCTGCTGTTGGCTTATGAAAAGCTAGAAGTGATCCAACAAGAAGCCTGTATCTGTCACATTGAAATCAGAGACTTGATTAATATTGTAGCCTGTAGCTTTGTGATATGTACGGTTTAAATTAGACCTTTGCAGTCATTGTACTGGGTTGATGCAAGCACATTAATGACATAATTTCTGGTTGCTGCATCACATTTCTGCAGTCTGTCCTTTGTATTCCACTCACATTAATTGAAGTAATTTTGCCAGTGA